TGATGGACTGGCTAATATATTTGTCATGCACTTTAGACTTGGTAGATTAACTGAGAAAAAGCTCAAAGATCAAGCTAATGGACCTATTATGTAAAAGGATCATGGCTGGTTATCAAACCATTTATTTATCTTCATATTGTGATTATATATGCATTTATAAAACTATGTGAAATAAATGTACTTAATCAGATTAGAATGTATTTATTAATAAGGGTGTTATATTATTGCACAGATAAGTAATTATATAAAGGTTTGATCCAAATAGGGAGATGACCCAATGTATAATGTTATCAGGTTACAAAGATAAGTAGTCGTATAAAGGTTTGTTCCGAATAGGGAGATAACCTGATGTATGATGTTATCTGAAGGCAAAGATAATTGATCACATAAAGGTTAGATAACCTGAAGTGTGATCTTATCATAATTTGCTAATGCAAGAGTTATTTTTTATTGCATCATACATTTTTGGTTGTAAGAAATTACAACATCATGAAATAAAAATATTTGTTGTTTACTTTGAAATTTTTTTTGGAAAAGAGTCTTATCACTAAGTTGTATATTAGGCCTACTTTTAAGGTTAAATGGCATTACAGAGCAAAATGATCCAATGGCATCCCCTTCCCCAGTTTCTGGGCATTGTGATTACAATGACCACTATATTGTACAAGATATGAAGTTTAGTAGTTTAAAAACCTTTTCTTTATAGAGTCACCCTGTACTTGCCTTTTAGTGCTCAGACCTAATGACTGAATGTCCAATTTTACCTATACCAGTCTAAATTTACATCTAGACCCTTTTTTAGCGTTTTAACATTTGATAGCTCTTTAGAAAGCCTATGACAAAAGGAATCAGATTTTGAAAGGACATATTGGTCTGAATGAGTTCACAACAATCTGGTTATCTATCTTGTTCACATCAGATACTGCCCTGGGTAAAGGATACAGCAACCCATTGGCATTTTGTGGTTCAATTTTAGTGGGTGAACCTTGCATTAGACAGAAATTCATACTAAGTAGGGTTTATTGCATTGAAAAATTCCTGATACGCCTCTCCTAACTTAAAATCCAAACTTTCAATTCCTTCAAATATCCATACCTCAACATCAAAAGAATTAGTTAAAGATAAACAAGAAACAACAGAGATAATCAAGGCAAAAAAGGACAACAAAATAAATGTTGACTGGATTGACAGTTGGCTTGGGATGGGGGTACCCGGGGGTACCCCCCCCCCCTCCCTCCTACCCATCCTAAGAAATAGGACGCAGCAGATGCAAGAGAAATATGTAACTTAGCAACTTGTGCATTACAAACACATATTCTAGGAAGCAAGTGTCTAAAATTCTAGAAACTGATAATATACTGATAATATACTGGTGGTTATCGGGACGTCAAACAGAACTTTACTTAAAAAAATTAGCTAAGATCAATGGGAAGATGAATTACAAGAAAGAAAACCGGAGAGCAAGAAGTGTTGTGCAGAAAAAGATGTGTAACAAGAACTATGACAGGGTGGGTGAACCCTGTTTAATTGCTTTGACAGTCATCTATTTTATTTTCTACATATTGTTAGGGGGGGGGGTCAACTTGACCCACCCCCTCTTAATCCCATGTTTGATGTCCAAATATGACAAATGATACATCATTAGAAAGCGCTTGTGCTCTAATTTTAGAATCTGCAAAAAAATTTGCAAATTTGCGAAAATTGAATTTTTTATTGCAAAATCCAGTTTTATAGTAAAAATGTTTGCAAAAAAAAATTTGTCCAAAAAATGAAAAATTATACATTTTTGAAAAGCCCTTGACCATGCCATTTCAAATATGCAAAAATAACCTGATTTTTAATTGAGAAAAACTAAAAATGTGCAAAATTCCTTTGACAGGTTGTTTGCAAAAAATTTGCAACTTTTTTTTAGCAAAACTTCTGCAATTCGTTTCCTTATGTCAAAGGCTTTCCAAAAGGCTAAATTTTATCAAAATCTGACAAGTGGAAGTGGGTCAAAACAAAGATTTAGTTTGTTACATGAAAATGCAGTCATTCAGGCAGTGTGCCTGAGGACTCATGCAGTTAGTATTAAAGCCCGGTTTAAGGCCTAAAGGGAGGGCTTTAGGTATGTAGGAAAAGTCAGAAAATTTCAACAGCCTTAGACCATTACTTTTTGAGTTATGTAAAAAAAAACAGCAGGAATAGGGTTAAAAATAAAATTTGAAAAATAAATGTTAAAAAATAAATTACAAGTGAACAAAGAGAAGCTCTTAAATGACAGCCATGCTGTTAGAAATTCAAAAATTTTAATTAAAGGTTATCTTCATTTTATTGATATATGCAATGACTGTATTTAAATTGCGGTGTAAAGGGCTTTTCAATAACCTAGCCTAACAATAACCTTTTTACTGTCAACGAGAATGGGTTCACACCCTTTGCTATTGGAAGATGTCAAAGTCTGCTAAAGTCAACGAGTATGGGTTCACACCCTTTGCTAATGGTAGATGTCAAAGTCTACTACAGACAAGGAGTATGGGTTTACACATTTTGCTGTTGGAAGATGTCAAAGTCTACTACAGTCAACGAGTATGGGTAGGGCTGGGCACGTTCCGACTTTTTTGAAATTGTTCCGTTCCGTTCTAGAACGAGGGCCTTCAGCTAAATCGTTCCGTTCTCGTTCCTCTTTTTTTTATCATTCCGTTCTCGTTCCGTTCCGTCCCGTTCCGTTCAGATCTGAGTAGAAGAATGGTCTTCCCGTTCCGTTCCGTTCTTGGCGTTCTTAGTTGAAGAACGGTTGCATCCCTCTTGTTCTGTTCTTAATTAAGAACGTTTCCATCCCCCGCTCCGTTCTTAGTAACGGACAATTACATCAAAGACAAAAGTTTTATAGAAAAGAGCTGGTTAAAAAGTAAAAAAATTACAATTTTTAAATAAAAAGTTCCTCACGGCTGTAAATAATACTTTAAATTATATATTTTAAATTTAGGGTTAAAAGAATAAGCTTAGATAATTCTGAGCAATGTATAATTTTGTGAGAGCACGTTCCCAACTTAGAACAAGTTCTTGATAATAAGAACGCGTTAACGATTTTAACCGTTCTTTTCAAGCAATTCCCGTTCCGTTCTTTTACTAATCCTTCCAATATTTTTAAGAAAGCGTTCTAAGCGTTGGCTTTTTTTTCGGAACGATGGGATCGTTCTTGATCGTTTCGTTCGTTCTCGGCAAAGAACGATCGTTCCACCGTTAACGCACCCAGCCCTAAGTATGGGTTCACACCCTTTGCTAATGTAGATGTCAAAGTCTACTACAGTCAACGAGTATGGGTTCACACCCTTTGCTAATGGTAGATGTCAAAGTCTACTACAGTCAACAAGTATGGGTTCACACCCTTTGCTAATGGTAGATGTCAAAGTCTACTACAGTCAACAAGAATACATTGTTACTTTTGCTGAATCAATATGTATTCATAAGTTTAATTAATGCATTCCTTAAAATGTTTTGATTATTTGAGTGCTGACTAATTATCTACTTCGATCTTCTATCTATATATAAATTTGGCTTGTCTGTCTGTTTGTTTGTTTGTTTGTCTGTTTGTATCCAATAAACGTCAAAACGGCTGAACCGATCGAGCCCAAATTTTTTGTGGGACATCACGTGACCATAGGGAAGGTTTCTGAATGATCAAAATTTCAAATATTTGTCTCCATCAAAATTCGATCTTCATTAAATTTTTGAAAATTTTGAAAATCCGCGAAATTTTTTGTGAAAATCCGAAAATTATTTTTGTTTTGTTTTACGATGTACACAAAGAGAACATGTTCACAATTAATTTAGAAGATGGGCGCGAAGCACCCTCTAAGGCTAGTGAATGTATATTTGGTTGAGATTTCAATATGCATACTTTGTTTCAACAAAAACAATCAAACAAAATTATCAAACATTATATTTTCAATTGGCTCATAATAAATTTTATTTTGTGTTTTATTTTAAGTTGAACCATCATACATTATTATTTTGTATTTTGTGTTTGAAAATAAATACTAAATATGAAAAAATAATATTGTCAAATGTTGCTCAATTTTGTTATTGCAAATTTTTTGCTGAAATTAATTAAATATAGGGTCTCCAGGGTTTATAGACTTGATCCAAAAATAAAAACATATAGTGTTTTATCATGATGGAGTAGTAGCAGATCCACGTTGAGTTGAAAATATTTCATGTAGGGCCTAAAAAGTAAATCAAGTTTTTAAAATCTCACCTGAATACACTATGTAATCTTGAGGATTTTTTTTACACACAACAAAATTTACAAATTTTTGTACATTTTGTCTTTTACTGCAAGTAATATCAAAATAAAACCTATTTTAAGCTTTCTTTACCCTTAATTGGAGAAGAAAAAAGTTAAAAGTAAATGTTTAACTCTCAGATTTCAGTAAGATACATCCGATTTTTGAAGTTAAATTCAAGATTTTGAGCTGCAGAAATACATAAAACACATTGAATTTCACTTTATGGGTCTTTGTATTATACTCAATCATGCAAATTTATCAGTTTCTTAAGTGTTCTGTCCTGAAGTTTATGTAAAGGAAGCTAAAATTAAATTATACATTGAGACTCTAACAGAAGATATTTAAAACATTTATTTATTAAATATGTTTGACCAGTGCTGAATAACTTAATTTCACATTAAATATTTGGATTTTTTTAAGCAAACATTTTCCAAAACAATCATTTTCATTCCAATGATAGTTTTCATTCCAAAACAATTGTTTTTCCACTTTTGAAAACAATAGTTTTGAAAACTATCGTTCTCCAGTAGGATCATTTTAAAAACTATCGTTTTTTTTCTTAAAACTATCATAACTTAGTTTAATCCCTTTTAAAAATTAGAGTTTTCATAACCATTGTTTAATTTTCAGAATTTTTTTCATTTTTAACAAAACGAAACAAACATTTTTCTAAAAAATTCAAAACCGCTCATCCCTAAGTTCATATCTTCCAAACAAATAGTTTTCTAGTTGAGTGGCTTGAACTGCTGAAGATTTTAGGAGCAACCAAGGTTTTTCTTTACAAAACAGAATTGCATCCTAATACTCACAAAGTAAGTAAACATAACAAAGGATTAAAAGTTATTAATGTTACAGTCTGTAATAGCTTGAATCTATAACACTCCTTATTAATTTTATTCTATTCAAGACATTATACCAATTATGTCAAAAACGTTAGCACTATCAAATACAGTAAATAATAATTGGAACTCCCATTTTTTATGCATTTTTATTAATAAAAACAGTGAACCCTCCTCCCCTTATGTAAAATGCTGCCCTATCTATTAAAAGTTTGAGCATTTAACTAAATAAATGAGTTGTTAACTACAACATTAAATAATGAGATATCAGATTAACACAGAAGTCAGATAGGCCACCGTTGGCTTTACATTAGAGAAGTTTTCAAGAAAAACACACATCATAACACCAATATTTGAAAATTATTATTTTTTCTCACAAACTACTTATTCAAACAGAAAAACAATATTAGGTTTGTTGGATAAATTGGCATTCCTGTACAACACCACTATTGCTAGACACACAACAATGCATGTATTTCTTTGATCAAAGGGTTAAAAGACACATGACTGTTGAGTGTGGTTGAATTGAAAGATTTGTTTGATCAAATTGCAATTCATGTGCAATTACAGCCTTTGAATAAGAACTAGTGTTCCCTGTTTTTTAATATTATTAGGGTTTCCACAAAACAGTCAATTCTCTTGCACAAAAATGGTGTGGTTTTGCATGAAATGACTTTTTTGCACTTTTCTATCAATACAAAAACAATTTTGTTCAAAATTGCGCATTGATTTGAAAAAAATAATTTTTTTTTGCATGAAATTTTGCATGAATATGAAATTTTGGTCAGAATTTTTCATGATATTTGCATGAATACAGGTCATTTTTCCATGCAATTTTGCAATGCCCATGATTACAAAAATTTGAAATGTTTGAACAGCAGTGTGCATGATAACAAAATTAAGTAATAATATTTATTGCATGCCATATATATAGTGCATAAATATAATAAGATTTTAATATTTGGAAAGTATGGTGTGAATTAGTTTCAGTAAAAAACAACATCCATCTAACCCTGCTCGTCTCCAAGTTCAGACTGGACTGATGATTAGTGATTGTGATGATTAATTAATTCCTGAGTAACTCAGTTGCTAGTTGAGATTGATTGCTAGTAAATGTTGTAATAGTTGGTAGGGTCCGGTGACCTAAAACTTGAGAATTAGGGCTCATTCGGCCAGCATATGTGAGTGCCAAGCAGATTGAAGTTAGATGACTCTGAATCTGATTGATTTAATTTTGAATTTATTCATCATTTCCTGAATTGTTTCTCAAAATTTAACAAAATAACAAAATAGCTTGAAATAACAAAATAGCAGGAATTAACGAAATAGGCAAATACCATTTTCTTCAGAATTTGCGCGAAATAGCTTTTGCACATCAATGCCCAAAATCATCAAAATTTCAATCAATTTTTACTTGAAACGTAAGCAAATCTTTGCACAATTTTCGCACAATTTTTTGCAAAAAAATCTACTGGAAACCCTAATACTTATAGACGATAATGGCCTATGACGAATCTGGTTTTGTTCAGCTTAATAATTTTTCAGTTCCAGGTATTGAATTTATGTTAAGCAAAAGATAGATAATTTAACATTTATCTAACAAAAATTTTCTCAAGCTTCAATTTTTTCTTAATGCTTAAAACATAATTTTTCCAGAGTATAATCCCAATGAAATTGATCATCTTGGGTTAAAGGACAATGTTCTTTATTCTGAATTGTTGCCAATTCAGGACTGTGCTTACAGCAATATGAACAGGTAAAGATGTGGGTTTTAGTCTAGATAAGCTGGGAAAATATGAAGAACATCACTTTAGTTAAAGTTATTTGTTGTAAACCCAACCTTGTAAGTAAAGTTAATAATGAAAAAGAGTTGTAACTGATGGATCATTTTGTAAACAGATAGTTTTGGGGAAGAAATACAATTTTGGTAGATAATAAAATAATATCAGGCACTGTGTAGAATTACAAAGTCTTTTAATTAACATTTATATTTCTCTGGGTCTGTAATTGTATTGGAGTCAAATCCCAATCATAGTTTAATTACAGTGCATGAATGCCTTATTTTACCTTTACAAATTTCAAGGACTTTACAAATATATAATTTGTTTATTTTACTTATTTTTTTTTCCTTGCACATTTTTCACTAAACTACTGGATGTTGCAATAGATATTTGAATTTTTGCAAATTCTTTTGATGTATGATTGATGTAGGACCCAAGGACTTTCCTAAAATGTATCAAATTTTAAGATTAGTATCTCAATAACAATATAGTGAGGGGGTGTCGCCAAGTACGCCCTCCCCCTGCCCTGATCTATGTTGGGTAAAGCAGACATCAGTAGGAAAAGGGTGTATATATTTAAAAACATATCCAATTATCCAAATACATTTTCTATTATGAGTATTATGAGTGAGTCTTATCTTATGTAATAATAATTATTGTCCTAGGTTTAATTATTTTGCTGTCCTGGATATTGATGAAGTTATTGTCCCAACACATAATAAAACATGGATGCATATCTTAGAAGCCCTTGAAAGAGTAAGACATAATAACTGTTTTTCAACATTGGGTGGCCATCAATGTTAACGCTTCACATGAGGTTGAAACTGAATCTCAATAGTGCTTAACCAGAAAAATTAAAATTTTTATTGGAATTTAATTCTTTAACCTTTATTCACAAAATAAAGGAATTGAATTTTTCCCACAAACTCCAATACACAAATCCCCATATTTTAGCAAGCTCATGGTGTGAACCTTAGATATTTCAAACTAGCTAGCAATGCAGTATTAACATGAGTTCTGTAAACTTCAATTCTGGCCAGAACTCCTTGTATATCAGATACCAACTCGTCAAAGTTGGAGATTCTTAATATTTCTAAATCACTCACATATTTGATTTCCAGCAATATCGTTAGTGCTAAACTAAACCATTTTACTTATACTTTCAAATCCTGAAGGTAGTTGGTGGCTTCCTCCTGAGAGACAACTCTTAGTTGGAGAATTTCACTCCCCTGGAAAAGATGATACTCAACACTCATGTCAGTAGTTCCCAACCACCTTGTTCCCAAGTCCTTCATTAGTAGTATTGACAGTAAGTCCATGGTCATCAAGGTCACCACTTTGACCAACATCAGTGGTATTTGCTGGTGTAGAAGTATTTCTAGGTGGAGCAAGAACACCAATGCTGGTTAAACCTGAGACTAAGATCATTTTATGAAATATTTTGACACTTGGCACCTGTAAAAAGCCGATTACGTTTTTTTGTAAAGAATTGTGGTGCAATTATAATGAATCCCTCATGCACAGGGAAGGGGTGGAGTAAGATACTTAAGTCCCTTTCTTTGTAAAACTTTGATCCTACCTGGTTGTATCAAAATATTATCGGTTTAAGTCTGCATGCATGTTAACCGGATTTCTTTAAATTAGAGTCTCCAACTTAATAGATTATTCACTTAGGCAAAATTACGTGCAGTTACGCAAAATAATTTTCATTTCGTGTAATTTTGCAGGATTATGCGTGATTGACGAAACTTCAATTTCACAAAATTACAGCAAAATTTCGCATAATTTCTAGAATGTAATTTCGCGGAATTTTGTAATAAATACATGTAGCAAAACTTTGATTTTGCGAAATTACACCGTAATTATGCGTATTTCTACAATAGTAATTTCGCGAAATGTTGCAATAGTTATGCCTGATTAGCAAAACCTCCATACAAACCAGCCTACAGGAGAACATTTAAACCTTCCTGGACTGGACATGAACTCTAAATTCTAAGTTAGTGTAGTAGAAAAGGTTTGGGACCTTGTGAGAAGTTTACTTGAAGTACAAGAATCTAAATACATCAGAGAATTTAAGACTGATATCACAGAAATGAACAAAAAAAAAATTTTTCTTTAATTGTAAACTGTAATTCAGTATTTTTAAGAAAAAAAGTATTTTTATTTCCAAATTTTTAAAAGGTTTACCCTTACTTAGACAAGCCACCCCCCCCCCCTCAGATTTACAAAAAAATTTGTTAATTTGATCAACCCCTATCACCACTTTAAAAATTATACATACAAACTTTTTTAATCTTCATTTGACAGAAACAATCTCAAAGAAAAATAATTTTCTTATAACATTCTTTAAAAAGTGAGTATTTGCAAATTATTTTATTTCCATCCCATGATCTAAGCTCGTTTTCCTTTTGTTCATTTGACAGCCCATTTAAATTTTTTTTAAATAATCTTTATTGTTTGTTTATTTTCTTTTGTTTTTAACATCAATCAATCTTGACCAAAATATATTTTCAATAAAATGTGGAAATATATTGTATATGTAATTAGAGCGTAATTTTTCATAATGCTCCTCCGTAAGTGAAAGAAAGTGTTAGGCGTAATTAAGGTAATTACGTGAAACGTAATTTCGACTGGAACCCTTACTGTAGATATACAGTATATTATCAGCAGACTTGTATCTTGCGAACAAAGTACAGAATTCATGATGGGAGTAGATTGCTGAATATGCTCAGCCTCTTAATCCATAGATAGTAAAATCCAAGATTAGTTAATCAAAAACCGCAAATAAATATGTGTTTAATATTTCCGAATATTACCTTTACAAAATGCCCTTCTTAGCAATTTTTAATGATGGCCTTTACATATAATATAAATATTCTGGAAAGATAACGTTGATTTAATACTTTGAAATAAAAACAAGAAACGCAGACACTGACAATACATTTTGAGTAGGTCGACACATTATCAGTCCTGTGTGATGTGTAAACAATGTACTCTGTACACAGTGTACAGTTCATTGTTCAGAGAGAGAGAGAACTAGAGTTTCATAATTGAAGATTCCAAACGTCGTCTTCCTCAGCATAAATGTTGTCTCCGACAGTACTATTCAAAACTTAAAATAAGAATGTTGTTCAGATGAAAAAAAAACCCTAAAAACCAAAGATTTCACTGGTCCTTGGGGGCTTTGCCCACATAGCCCCCCTCCCCCCCCCGGAATATGCTTATGGTTACAATTTCTAGGGCAAGCAAGTAGCAACATTGTAGGTAACAGGTGCTTCTGGCTGCAGATATCTATAAGAACAATAACCCAGAAATATAATATTTTTGTTTCTATAAAGTTCATTTGTAAAATTTTTTTTTTCAAACGGACTAAATACTGGTATGATGACAGTTGTCTTTAGTGCAATTAAATGTTTGTTTAATAAATACTATGCCAATCAATACAGCATTGTATCTGAATTTGTTATCGAAGGTAACTTAAATACAGTAGGAATATCCAAAAAAAGCGGATTAAGCAAGAAATTGAAAGTGTCCACAATGAATATTCAGATTAGGCATTGGAGATTAAGGATACCCCATACTAAAGTTTTCAGCTCAGTGATACAGATCTAGGAAGGGCAGAATTATTTTGGTACATGCCTGGTCTTGGTGATAGAATACCATCTATCCTCATGGATTCCTTATGAGCTGTTTGCCCTACAGGTCAACGAATGTCTCACTGGTTTCTTATTGAATCCCTATTCAAAATTGAAGACTTTGACCTTGCCTGGAACATTTTAGAAGGGGAAAAAGTCTCCTGGGACATTGGCATGGAAGTGGGAGTCTCCTGGAACATCATCACAAGAGTTGGAGTCTCCATGGACATTGTCATAGAAATGAGTTTCCTAGTCATCTTGGCAGTGGGAGTTGTTGTATCTCAGATTGTTCTCAATAAGAGTGAACAGTCCCTTGAATACAACTGGATGCCATGGATCAGTACAGCCCGAACCTTAGAAGAGTAGACATGTAACTATACACGTCCGTCTGCCACTACTGTTCTAGGGCCTGTACAACATACAGCGAACATATAGAATACAGAGGGAACCTTTCTGGACAAGCTACATCAGGAGAAGATGAACCAAGTTTCTGTTATTGTGCGAAACCCCCCCTAAGTTGAAGAAGTTGAGCTGGATGAAGATGGAGTTGATCCACCTAACTTTATTCCCCTTGTCAGTGGGAATACTCCCTTTATCACTGTCTCAGCCTCGGAGGACGAGAATGTAGTTGAGGATGTTGTAGAGGATAGTGATGAAGATGAGGATATGCAGGACTTCCTAGAGAAGCTGGAGAAACTTGATAAGGAAGTCAAGGAACTCCAAAAGGAGGTTGTGGATCTCCTGTCCCCTACTTCTGGGGACACTAGCTCCCATCAGCCTGCTGTTGTCCCCCATGTTGAGGTTTGGGACACAGGGAAGGCTTGGGAGCAGGAATACAGACTGTATCCTGACTCTAATAGGAAAGAGATCAGTGAAAGGCTGGCTACTCAGGTGTTGGATCTGCTCTGGATAATGCAGGTGCGAATCAATCAGCAGACCTTGAATAATAAGGATTTAGAACTGATTGACACTGAAAGCTATATCAGTCATGCACTTTAGACTTGGTAGATTAACTGAGAAGGTGCTCAATAGTCAAGCTAGGAAACCTTATAAGTTAAAGGGATCATGGCTGGCAATTATGTCATCAGATTATCTTTATCTAATACTATGTATGCATTTATTATTATGTAAATAAATGTATTGACATTGTAGAAAACATGTTTATTACTTTGGGTGTTAATCATTGCACAAGCAAATAATTATATAAAGGTTTACTCTGCGTGATAGAGATAGCCCGAAGTATAATATTGCCAGGTTGCAAAGATAATTGATCTTATACAAGTAGAATAACTTGAAGTGTGATCTTATCAAAGTTTGCTAATTTAAGTTCGCCAATTTATTGCACATTTTTAGTAGTAAGAGAATACTACAGAGTCTCCTTGGACATCATCACAGAAGTGGTACTCTCCTAGGACTTTTTCCGGCATGCAAAATATGTGTCAATTTTCCCTCATAATAAAAGAAACTAATTTGCAATTTTTTTTGTGGAATTTCAGCATTTTTTTTGTTGAATTTGAGCTTTTTTTTCAGAATTAGAGCAATTTTTTAATGTATTTTGAAAACATGTAATTTACAAAACTTAAATTGCAACAAATAGGATTAATCAGACAGAATTCATAAAGATGCATGAGATCAGCAGATTTCTGAAACAATGAAATGAATAGATAAGATTAAAATAGACTATTTATAAAACCAATTATTTAGAAAATATCAAATATTTGAAGTGGCTACTTCATACTTGTGTCAAGGCTTTGAGATCCCCCAGGCCCCTTCTCTTCCCCTACCCCTCCAGTTGTGGAGGGTCCCATGCTATGATCGAAGGGTGATGTGTGAAGTATTGGAAATTTGTACACGTTTTTAAAATGAAATTTATCATCTAACATCTGAAATTAACTAGGGGAACGTGTCCATAAACCAACCAAGCCTCACTTTCCAAAATGCCTACTTTTTACAACAATATAAGGAATCCAACAAAGAGGGACCTTTTAAGGAGATTCCAACATACAACTACATGCTGCAACAAGTGTACAGGTAAAGTGCCCTTTTTAGTACTCAAAAAGTTTTAAAATAAATTTAATCAGTCTACAAAAAAATGAATTGGAATTTAAGGAGTAACACTCATGTTTTCAGAGCTAAAGATCATTTGGGCCCAAATATAAACTGCAAATCATTTCAGAACACACTCCAGGTACTTGAGCTGATGAAATGAAAAGAGATGATCAATATTTATTTAATGGATCCTATCTTCATTTATCATTTAAGGCTTTGGGAGGGGAAGTGGGAAGCACTCTGACAAAATCTTGAAATTATAACTACAGAAACTGCCTTAAAATTAAGCAGAATCCCTAGAACTTTCCTCTTTTTAATAAATTTCTCTGATTTTCCTGATAATTTTGGATTCTTTTGATCCATTTTCATTTCTAGATGTCAAATATTATCAGATATAATAAAGTGCTCTAAATTTATTCAGGCCAGACAAAACTTTGGATAAAAACAATAAAATTGTTATCTGTGAATGAATTTGCAGCAAATAATTCTTTTTTTGGTGATCTTTTTTTTAATTTATGGTTTGAGACTTTAATGGAGGATTTGAACAGAAATTTACCTTTTTTGTGTGTTGTGGGGGGGGGGGGGTGTTGTAAATATGAAAATATGACCTTTTGTAGAGTTAGAATAAACATTTTAGGTCTGAGGCTATAAATGATAATTGAATTTTTTAGACACTAATTTTTTACAATCACAAGTCTGAGCGATGTCTAAAGAATTCTGAATGTAATAGATATTCAGTAGACCTTAGTATAGGACAGCTGAACCATTACAGGTACATAAATCACTATCATATAGGTTAAAAAATATAATAATGTTTATGTCTAGCAGTTATAATAGCCTAAAGTATCAACCATGTCATAATCTGTTATGGGGTTTGATTGGAACCAATGCTAAGCCTCAGATTTCTTGTTTACAACTCTACTTCTTTAAGAATATTTCCTTGATAATAACAATACTCTGGGTAGCGAGAAGCGGGTTCAATCTGTAGAAAGATTAAACGGATTAGTTTTTATTTATAACTATAGAAATACAATATGCAATAAATGGAGTAAATTACAAAATTTGTTACAATTAGTTAAGACTCATGATGACAAAAGACTGCTAGAATTTTCAAAACACTAAAACTCAGTTTAATTTTAACAATCCAAGAATACAAGAGCTCATTTATCAAGTAAAAGAATATAGTAAGCCTAATTAGTACCTTAATGTACCATAAACAGATCACAACAAAATCTCTCTGTATCAAAATATCAAGTATATCTGACGAGAAATGGCAAACACAGTATAAATTTTAGGTAAAGTTTACAAATCAAAACTGGTTTCCATACTGCACAACAGACTCATCCCCCCTCAACCTCAGGGGTTTCCAACCTTTTGCATAGAGAGTTCAGGATTAGGAAATTCATAATGTGACGATTTTATCGCGTAACACTCCTCCAACCCAGTGGCACAAGTCAACTTCATCTTCTTGTAGAACTCCAAGATTAGATCACATGAGCTAAAATATCACATCAGAGCAGCTCAAAAGTTTCTGTCTCTTAAATAAAAAAACAAGGGTTCAAGATTATGAGAATAATTGTTCAAAGTTTACCAGAGAAAATCACTTTTATCAGGAGACTTTTCAAGAGTTCTCCATAAACAATTATCAGGCTTAAAATCGCTATTAGAGCTGAACCCTCAACAGGGTTGTAATCTCTAAACAGGCTTACCATCACCAGGAAAGCTCAAACCTGAAATCCAGCTCCTCTGGGAAGGGAATAGCCTCAGGACCCTATATCATATCATAGGTCTATCACGTCCTGCAGTCTTACTCCAGGATCTCTCGTACTTCCTGTAAACCACATAACTAGGACCAGGGAGATGTTCATCAGGACAAGGAGCAGCCACCAGAAAAACAACAGGTTTCTCCTGGTTAGACAGCTTGATCTTTTTCCTATAATCCTTACCATGACAGCTAGAGAAGTCAGATCCACACACCCATTTTCCAATACAACCCTGGTTCCAGAGATTAATGAATAGAACTCCTGCACTCCTCAAACATCTCTCCATACTCAACAGGTTGAACAGAAATCTTCTTATGCATACACTCATCCCATTTTTTACTATATAGAATATGTACATTTCCAATTGTTGCACAAAGGCATTATAAAGCTATTTGAATGTTTATGCCTGGATCCTGAGTATAGCTTCTGTAAGGCCTAAACCAACTATGGATGCTGATGTAGACATACTTTGCTTTCTTTTCTTCATAGATGTTATGACACTTGTGTAAGTATTTAAATGAAATGATTTTAAAAATTGTTCTAGTCAATGTTATATTGTTGCTATAATACTTCAGTCAATTTCAGTTAAACCACACTCTCTTCTCCCCCTTTCATCTGTTGCTAAACTGTAAGAAAATCTATCAACACCATCTAAATAAAGAATCAAAGAAGAAACAAAATATAGAGAGAAAGAAGTTGAAACCGGTCATCATAAAGAATATCAATATAGAGGTATGCACTCCAAGCTTCTCCAGGTAGGAGTACAACACAGGGTAACTCTTCAGACTAGGAAATCCGATTATACCAGGAAATCTCCTCAGACCAGGAAATCTTTTCAGACCAGGAAATCTCTTCAGACCAGGAATTTTCTTCAAACCAGGGACTCTCCTCATACTAGGACATTTCCCCAAATCAGATAATCTGCTCAGACCAAGAAATCTCTTTAGATCAGGAAATTTCCTCAAACCAGGAAATCTCCTCAGACAAAGACATGTCATCAGACCAAGGAATCTCTCCTCAGACTAGGAAATTTCTTCAAACCAGGAAATCTGCTCACCAACTCCGGATCACTCATCTCATGGTTCTTATTATTCTCAAATCTAAGCTTATAAGGGGTACTAACCTCGTCAAACCAGGAGATCTCATCAGAACAGGAGATCTCCTGAAAGTAGGAGATCTCATCAGACCAGGATATCACATCAAACCAGGAGATCTAATCAAACCAGGAGATCTAATCAAACCAGGAGATCTCATCAAACTGGAAGATTTCATCCGACCCAGCGAACTCATAAAACCAGGAATTGCCCACCAACTCAGGATTTATTGTCTCATCATCATCATTATTCTTCAGACCATTATTCAGACTAGGAGATCTCACCAACTCAGCAATACTCATCACAGGGTCGCCATTATTTTCACCAATATTCTTAGGATCATAATTCTTCTTAGGATCCAGTGAACCAAACTTTAGGCACAGGGATTATAATCTCCCATCTTCATACAAAATACTGACCCAGGATTGTAAATATCCTACCATTCTCAGAGCTCTCCTCCATCCATGACACACAGGATCAACTAGTAGTTCTCTAGCTACACCATTGCCTGCGTGAAGTGCCAAATCTGAGAGAGGAATTGTCATTTCCTCAGTACTAACAGACTCAGCAGAATCTCTGTTCTCTGTCCCAGGTTCAACCACAGCAGTTGAGAACTTCCCTGTAAGCAACTCTGGAAAACACCCCACCATGATCTCATCTATAATAAGTTTTGAAAGCAAATCGGGATCCCCCAATTAACATGGATCACCCATCATCTCAGTATCGCAACTTATCTCAGGGTCACAACTCCTCTCAGTATTACAACCCAGCTCAGGATCTCCATTATTCTTAGGGTCTCCATAATTTTCATGATCTCCATTATTCTTAGGATCTCCATTCTTCTTAGGATCTCCATCATTCTTAGGATCTCCATTATTCTTAGGATCACCCATCAGCTAAGGATCACCCATCACTTTAGGATCAGCCATCACTTTAGGACCAGACATCAACTCAGTTATGGCCGTTATCTGAATATCAGCCATCATATCAACATCAGTCATTAACTCAACATTAACCACTATATCTACATCAGCCATTATCTGAACATCAGCTATCATCTCAGTATCAGCCATTATCTCAACATCTATCACTTTCTTGGCATCAGTCATTGACTGAAAATCAGTTATCATCTCAGCATCAGTCATTATCTCAACATCAACCATCATCCTAGCATCAGTCTCTATCTTGGCATTAGCCATCACCTCAGCATCGGCCATCACCTCGACTTCAACTAATAACTCAGCATCAGCCATCATCTTAGCATCAGTCAGTGTCTTAGCATCAACCTCTATCTCGGCATCAGCCATCACCTTGGCATCAACCATTATCTCAGTATCAGTTATCATCTTAGCATCAGCTAGTATCTTATCATCAGGAACTAGCTCGGTATCAGTCATCCCCTTGGCATCAACCATTATCTCAGTATCAGTTATCATTGTAGCATCATCTAGTATCTTAGCATCAGCCACTATCTCGGCATCAGCCCTGAGTTTTTTAACTTTATTATTTATTTATAATTTTTTTATGAAACAAATTAATTGATACATGTATTTAATGCAGAATGCAGATACTCATTTTTCCAGTCTTCTTGTTTCCTGGCTGTCCTGTTTAGCTCATTCAATTAGCTGCATACCCCCGCCCCCCCAGGAAGTGGCATCAGCCCTGAGTAGATCTGGGCTGGTTATGTGCCTAGCATAGGTTGGATGACCTGTATTTGAGTTATAAACAAGGTGTCCTTCTCCTGATGCCACTGAAAACAAATTCAGCTCTCTATTTCTGGAATCAACTGTATCATCTATGGCTTGCCCGCTATTCCCATCCTTAAAATTCTCAATATCAGAAGACTGTCTAGCATACATAGGACGCCCTGTATTTGACATGTTAACAGGGTGTCCCATACCTGATGCCACTACAGTGCTGCCACTATTGTCTTCAGGAAGTATTTGAACTCAGGATGAGTAAAAAGTGTCCTTCCTCCAAATTAATTCTCAGCAGGGATTCTCAAACTCTGACTTATCATATTCTCCATGTTCCCCAGTAAATACATCCTCTTGATTCACACTTCTATGCTCAAAGGAACTTGTTTAGATAGTATCACATTGAAGAAAATTGATCTGGCCAATCTGTGGAACATCTCTATCCTGGTCATCATGGATCACAGCGAGAGCTCTCCTCCGGATGCTCTTCAATCTATTCTTGATACTAATCAAATACCCAATGATTGAAGGATCCCCCCTGGCTAGGAGTAACCATGAAATGCATTGATCAATTTCCCTACAAAGCCTGCCATAATTATTCTCAATAAACTCCAAGGGTTGTAAAGAATTGAAATCAATTGCCCCCCACTCCTCAACATCATCTTTAATTCTCAAATATCTCAGTATCTCAACTAATTGAAGGGTTTTATTAGGGTTCAAGGTACTGCTCATCACTTTCCGTGGCTGAACGTCTTCCCCCCCCCCCCATCACGCCCCAAAGGCATTGTCAGTGTATCAGTTTACCAGGTTATTGTATAAAGTAATCAACGCCTTTAAAGGATTATGATTGAATGTTTTGGGACCAAATCTAGCCACCTAAAATATCCTAGTGAATCAACCATGTAATAATCTGTTATGAGGTTTGTGTGGAACCAACACTAAGTCTAAGATTTCTTGGATACAACTCTACTTCTTTTAGAATCTTTCCTTGATAATAACAGTGCTCTGGTTAGCACTAGCAAGAAACGGGTTCAATCTGTAAAGAGATTGCCTGGATTAGTTTTTACTTATAACAAAATTTATTACAAGGATAAAATTATTTAAAGCTCATGATAACAAAAAGCTGCAAAAATCTTCAACATAGTAAAACTCAGTTTAGTTCAAACAATCCAAGGATATAATAGCTCATTTATCAAGTAAAACAATATAGCAAGCCTAATTAGTACCTTAATGTGCCATAAACAGATCACAACAATATCCCTCTGTTTCAAAATATCAAGTATAAGTAACTGAGGAGAAATGGCAAACACTGCAGTATAAATTTAAGGTTAAGTTTACAGATCAAACAGGATTTTGAGCTGCACAACAGGCTCTTTCCCCCCCCCCTTAACCTCAAGGGTTTCACTTCTTCTGCATGAAGAGCTCAGGGGTGAGGAAATTCAGAAGGTGAAGATTACGTCGCATAACAGTTAATATTGTTTTTATATTATTTCCTTAAGATTTCAAACCTCATTTATTCTATAGAAGTTCCTGCTCTAAAGAGTATGAAAAATTCTGTTCCAATTCCATCCCAACTGTGAAGGATATTACAATATGGACCTGGAAGAAAGAGCTAATGGAAAACATGAATAAGTCTCTTCTTGATCTTGGACTGATCATTTAGAGGGAGGGGTATTAGGTGTTCCAGAATATGAGACATTGACCCTTCAATAGAAATGTTTTTAAAATTTTTAATATATTTTTTCAAGCTTTTTAAATTTTATTTTTTAGTGTAGGGGCAGAGCTGTTGAAACAAAAGTACCAATATTATATTTACAATATTCTTTCTAAAAGTGGTTTAAATCTTTTTGGATACTTTTATCATGACTTTATTTATTATAATCCATCAAAATGTATAAATGAATTATATTCTAAAACTTTAATTTAAATGCCTATTGTCTAATAGTCATATTTTTTCTACATGGTATCTCATCAACTTTAGTAACTAACATGTTTTATATGGGGGTAAATGTGGATCTTGATCCAATTTTTTGTGATGATTATTTAAAAGATGTTTTGAGGGGATTGGGGTTGAGGGATGTATGATACACCGAGAAGGCAGATACTCTCCGATACTCTCCCAGTGAATGGGATTGGGCCCCAGTGGTGGATTATGCACTCATCCCCCTTCCCCCCTCCTTAATTTCTTTGTCGGAGTTGCCGTTTACTTTGAGCCCAAGATCTTTCTTGAAATCAAATATATTAGTTGCAATCTGTTTACGTTATGAATCCCTATCTGTCTCTATGCCAAACCTTCGATTAATGCTGCACTGATTTTCTTATTAGTTCTTTTTGTGTATGTGTTTTTTTTTAATTGCTTTAATTCAATTAAAGAATTTGGTTAACAGGGGGGCTCAGCTAAAACAGTCCCAGGCTATTGAGTCCGCCTGCTGCGGAAAATAATGTTTTACATATTGTGATTTTTAAAAATTAATTCGTAAATATTGTTTTTTTTTCTGCAGAAATTAATGATTTAATTTGATTTGATTTGATGTTTATCATTTATTTATTTAGATTTTCATTTTATGTCTTTAATATCCAAATGTGTGTATGCTTCATATCCACCATTTTCTGCTTCTTCTTTAAAGGGAGTGACCGGCAATGTATGGTGGTTGAACTGAGATTGCAGAATTGTATAGAAATTTTTTAGGATTTAGTTGAGTCATATAAAACCTTTTAAAGATCTATAATTACTGAGTTTGAGCGCAAAAATGACTTTCAAAATCAACAATTTGGGTGAGTACATTCTAAGAATCATCTTTTTTAAATTATTAAATAACAACGACAAAAAATATAGTAAAAATACTATTTTAAACTAACTAGATGTTTAAGAACATATCTCTTTAAAAAAAATTGTGTCAATAAATATTCTAAAATTATTTTGTTTTCATCATTAGATTGAATTTCTTATTTTTAATGAATTTGTTGGCAGATTTCTACAAATTCTTCAAAATATCAATATAAATTCCAGAAAATCTTTGTGAATAATGAGAGATTACAGAAATTATTAACTGAATTTAATTACTTATTTTGGATGATAAGAGTTAATTTTATTTTCTCAACTTGTTTCTAAACGACCTTTTAGTTTACTGTAGAATATTTGTTACATTATTGAATAATTACAAAAAACGATTCTCATATTGTACTTTTCCAAATTGATGATTTTGAACGTCAAACTTACGCACAAACTCAGTAATTATGGATCTTTAAAACATTTGATCTGTCTAAAATGGGACGTAGCGGTGCGGAGGGGGGGATAGACAAAACTCCTATTATTGAGGGTTAGGTTTAGGTTAAGACAATTTCTGGGCTGAGCGCTGCGGCTAGAATGGGCTAAGGGGCCGGGCGCTGCGGCTACCACAGGCTAGGGGGCCAAGCACTGCGGCCACATGATCAATACCACTACGTCCCATGCCGTTTTGTCTATCCCCCCTCCGCACCGCTATGTCCCATGCCTCCCTTTAAACCTTCCTTATATATTTACTTATATGCTACAATATTAGGGAGAAAGAAAATCAGAAATATGTGTCAAAATGCATTGTTCGCTTGTCATACAAGGGATTATAATGCGTAGATCTAAAAGAGAGGAACAGAATCATTCAAATTATTTCTCATCTCTTTCTTTAAATATGCGTAGCTCATCGAGATATTAGTAATAGAGGGGGCATCTGGAATTTTAGACTTCTTGTTGTACAGCCACTGTACACAATGACCCGATCAGAAATTCTACCTGGGGGGGATCATAATTCGTAGATCAGTTTTGTAAGTTATTGTTTGAAAGTGAAAGCAAAGAAAACAAGTCCATATGATTTTTGTATAAAAATGAGACATGACAAATAGAGAAAAAAATAAAATCCTTCTCCTTAAGATACATCGTTGTTTACACAATTTTTGACACTACAATATCTCATTGTTGAAAAATATTAAAATCAACTGTCCACTCAATACCGTACAAATAGATGTACTTAGGATTAAACCCACTGTACTCTATGATACCAACTCAGTCATAAGGAAACATTTTTCGACAAATTTCACTGTACAGTTTGATACCAACTCAGTCATAAGGAAACATTTTTCGACAAATTTCACTCCACAAATTGATGAATAAATTTAATCATAAAGATGATTTGACTTAATTACATTTTTGTTCATACAAAGTAAATAATTCATGAGTTCAAACAGACAAAATATAAAACCTGGAGATATAGTTTTCCTTTAAAGTTAAAAACAAAACTTTTGAAATAAGAAAGTCAGGCGTTATTCACAGGATGTTTCCAGAATTTTCAAAATTTCTAAAATAAAATTGAAACCCTTTTTCCACGTTCTGCATAATCTTATTTTTGATGGAAATTTTGTTTCTTGACGTATTTGGCTTAATGTCAATTTAAATAGAAAAAATTAAATTATAAGAGATTTACAACAAAAGTCAATTAGCAAAATTTATTAAATTATTTATTATGACTGCAAAATATGAAAGTTGAATTACTTACTAACCAACTTAGTTTCAAAGAGGGATAAATGACACACATTTTTACTCTTGATCAATCTCCTCAGATTGTTAAATTATTTAATTTTTATGAAAATTTGGAATCCTTTTTCTACGTTCTGCAAAATCTAATTTTTGATAGAAATTTTATTAGGCTAAATATCTGTTTAAATAAAAAAGTAAAAATATAAGAAATATTAAATTAAAGTTTTAATAAGCAAACCTTCGGAAAAAATCATACAATGAAAATACTTAGTTAACAACTGAATTTTGTGATGAGGAATAAATTAAAAAACATTTTTATTTCTGATCTGTCTCCTCAGATTGTTTGAAAAAATTAAATTGTACTCAAGGATATCTCACTCCTTGGTGTTTATTTGCAACATGAACCTTCAGACTTCTTGCTTGAGTTGCAACATACTAACAGTAAGAACAAGGATATCTTTCTCCTTCATGTTTACTTTCAACATGAATCTTCAAGTTATTTGCTATAGTTGCAAAATACTCACAGTGAGAACAAGGATATCTCACTGCTTCATGCTTACTTGTAACATGTTTCTTTAGATCCCTTGCTTTAGTTGCAGTATGGTCACATTGTTAGCAAGAATATCTCACTCCTGCATGTTTATTTTCAACTTGAATATTCGGATGACTACTTTTACTGTTTCAGTTCACATGCTGTAGTTGCAGTATACTCACATTGAAAGCGAAAGGATATCTAACTCCTTCGTGTTTACTTTCAACATGTTTCTTCAAACCGCTTGTTGCAGTTGCCGCATATTTACATTGCAAACAAGGATATCTCACTTCTTTATGCTTGCTTTCAATATGTCTCTTCAGGTTAATTGCTGTAGTTGCAATATAATCACATTTTGAGCAGGGATACATCACTCCTTCATGTTTACTTTCAACATGCCTATTCGGATCACTTGATGTAGTTGCCGCATGTTAACATATAGAACAAGGTTTACTCACTCTTTTATGTTTACTTTCAACATGTTTCTTTAGATCCCTTGCTTAAGTTGCAGCATAGTCACATTGTGAGCAAGAATATCTCACTCCTTCATGTTTATTTTCAACGTGAATCTTCGGATGACTGCGTAAAATGCAGACTGCTAGAGAAGAAGACCATGGAGCTAAGGCTAGCTAATCATCCTGAAGCAAGGACTGTTCTAGCCCCTTGTTTTCATTCCTGTATGATGGACATTTGCTACGGATTTAAAGGTCAGACTTATAAAAGGTCCAGAACGGTTATCAAGATCTATGCATTGGTAATAGTTTGTCTACTGACTGGAGCTACCAACATAATGGCCCTGGAAGGAATCGAAACTCAGGATGTATGTGCAGCTCTGGAGAGACATTCAAACCGATATGGAGTTCCTAGTTTTGTATATGTGGATAATGGAACTCAGCTCAAGGCTCTACAGTACGCGAAATTCTCCATCAGGGATCTAGATGCGATGGTACAAGATAACCTTGGGATGAAGATAATAGTGTCCAATGCCAAGGCGCACTCTGAAAGGGGAAGAGTGGAGAGAAGGATCAGGGTGCTCAGAGAAACCATGGAGAAGATGGGAGTAAATAGTTCTCACC